TTTATGTGACTGTTCAGTGACAACCAAAGCTACGATTCTAGCCATTTTATAAAATAAATTATATATTTGGCAAATTTGATATCCTTATGCTGAAAGAAAATCTGGCTGAAGCAAAAAACTTCCTGTGTGGGAAGTGAACAACTTACATAGCATAAAATTGTCAATAAAAATTAATTACTTATTGCTTAAATCTAGCTGGCTCTATAAGTGTGCCTCCTCAATTAACTGAGTCTGCTTGTAGAAGTGTAACTGAGAGGCCCCTGTATTTCATCATCAACTCCAGAGCCATGCTATTTTGGAAATAAAAGACCTGTATCCTGTCCAAAAAATAAACTCTGGAGGTGACTTGCTGTGTTGCCATTTTGGATTACAAAAAAATACTCAGCCAACACACAGGGGAAGGCTTAATTCCAGCAAACACACACATAAACAGGAAACCTCTCTCCAGTCAGAAGGTATTTTTCCTTCGTACAATGGGGTTCAAAGATGTGTCATCATATAGTTTAAAACAATTACTAAGGAACCTTACCATTTCCAATAGTTTAGGAATAGAGCTGGTTTCCACAGTTGAAAGCCTGTCTGAACTTGCATGGGAAGCACACAAACACTAAAAAATATATGCTGGCTTAGGCCAGTGCAGAATTTTTAATCAATAAGCATGTCAAACTGGGGGACAGGGAGGGGAGGGAATCAATTTTCAGAAGGCAAATGGTAACAACTGTAGATTTAATCAAATTGCAGATGCAATCCCTTACTGTTCTCAATATTTTTGAAAGAAAGTAGCTCCATGGCAAAGAATGAATTTCAATAAATGTCACATATTTAGGTTTATTGCTGAACTTTTAAATTTATCAAGCTAGGTCACTGATCCCTCACAGAAATGGTAACCATACATGTCAAAAAGATTTTGAAACTGTTTAGCTGTATAAACATCAAAATGAAGGAAGTGCAGCAAAGGAAAGCAACTTACATAAAAAATTGTTACTGCTGTAAGACTCCAGGAAAAAAAGATATGCCAGTGTGACCCTTCAGTGTGAGGGTAAACCTGCAAGGTACACAATGAGGGGGATAGCTATCAAATACCATGGTAATGGACATGGTGTGAACACTTGAGCAAAATGAAAATCTTCTGAAAGCATTTGGCAATTTTCCGTCCCCGTGCATTTGCAATCAAATTTATCATGAATTCAAACATGAACCTTTTGCTGCCTTCCATACAAAAGGACAATTGCATGTTAATTTTCTTGGGACAAGCAGAAGAGACTATCAGAGCTGTAAGATGCACAGAAAAAGCAGCATTTCACTTAAGAATTTTAAGCTTATTAAACTCTTCAGCACTGCAGAAACTCTTCTGTTATTGACAACTGCTTGAAAAATTAAATGTTCTGGAGCACTTGCTTCCCTGGAGACTGGCGCGCTGGGAGGAGAGGCAGAGGAGAGGTTTCAGACCATTCGCTGCTACTGTTGCCCCACACACACCCTTGTGCCTGGCTTATGTACACAGCCTCTCCTTAAAATACAAGCATTATAAAATTCTTAAAATTTGAGGGTTATAAGCCCCTCAAATTATCTCAATTTCTATTTTCCACTCCCATATTTGATTTACTCAATTGCAACTAATTCAGTGAAAGTCCATCTGAGCCAAGACTCCGTCTCCATCCAGCCACATCAAGTGACTGAAAAAGATCACAGCGTGACTAAAAAGTCCCAGAACAGATCAAAAACCATGGCAATCTACTTGGGAACACTGTTTGCTTCAAAGGAGTTATATCCTGGACTAACGTGGTCTGATAACTTTACCTCTCTTTTCTTTTTCTAATGTTTAAAATTGGAAAGAAAAAATACATTATCTTCTTGTACAACATCATAGTTTTCCTCAAGGCAAATAGCTTGGCAATTTGCTAGATTTGTTAATGCTAGAGGAAACAAGTTAGCACACATACCATGTGTTTGAATGCCTTTGGAAATTAGATTGAAACACTGATTTGATTTCCTAAAAGGTATCTTAAACAAGGCAAGGTTAGAGATTTGGAGAGTAATGAGAATTTGTGTGACTTCAAACAGCTCTACATAAAACAGACCTGATATTCTGGGGGGAAAAAGGTCACCTAATTATTCGTTTCCTGAAGGCCCTGTCTATACTACATTTCCCCTGGGTAAGGAAACTGATTTAAAAATGGCTTCTGCTAACATGTTTGCATCAGTCGCTATGTATGAGACAGAGATTTTTAAAGTCACTGCCAAGAAAAACACATCATTTTTGTAAGGGAACAACAGAAACCTCCTCATCTTGGCTGTAGCAAAAAGATGCCATCCTCAGAGTCCTGCATGGAGCTGTGGCCTGCCTCCTTGGTGATGGCATGCTGCTTGGGGCAATGTGGCATGACCACCAGTGGTGCATTGCACAGGTTTAATTACCAAATACAGCCTTTGCATAGGAAGCAAAATCACCAACTGTGGCCACAGCAGAGAAGATGCACACGCTGATGGTTCATCTGAGGGTGACAGCCTAATGAACATGAAGTTGTGCCACCAGCTCAAAGAACAGACAGCAAGGTAGCAACAGGGAGGTAGAAAGCCTGGACATCAGGGTTTCACAGGAGCTCACCACAAAGGTGGTGCTGCCACCCAAAATCCTAGCAAGGTGTGTTTGAAGTGTCACACACTGCACACATTCCTTATGCTTTGCACCAAATAGATCCTTGTCACCCCCTACTGAATTTTGTGTTTCTGTAGTTTCAGAGAATGCTGTTCAGCTACCCTAGCCCTTTCTTGTTCAAGAAATGATGTATAGTGCTGAGAGAGCCCAAGCAGGATTTCCCTTACACTAGATATTTCACAAACACAGATGGAGATGGAGGACCTCTCCTTGCTTTCTGCCTGAAGCAAATAAAGTCTAGACACATGCCCACCACAAAGCAATCATGGCACAAAGCAGATCACCCAGTGCTCTGTGACTCCCACTGCAGCTCTGCCTCTCTGGCTACCCCAGCACAGCACGCTGCCGGCATCAGTTTCCCTTTGTGGCTGTGAAGGCAAGACTGCTGCTCTTACACAGCAGCCAGCTGTGCCAGCTAGTCTCTGGAGTTCTGGAAGCCAGATTTGGGAGGCAGCAGGCTTTGAATTTCTCCTCTGAATTGAAAAATACAGAGCAGATATTTGCAGATGATAGAAGAATAAGAGTAGGCAGGTTGCCTGCTTTGATTGCACTGGACAAGCAAGAAGAGGTTACAGGTCATCAGCTAAGGTACCAGAAACCATGAATGCAGGAGAATCAGGATGGGAAAGGCAATACTGGGAAGACAACACTTGCTACTAGTTTTGCTTTCATGAGCTTTTCATTGAACCTCTGCTGAATTTTGGCTTTCTGGCTGCCTTGCCCTGACTCAGTGAGCTCCCATCCATCTATGGCTGCACTGTCATCTACACTTGAGCAAATAACACGTCCATGAACCCCTCCCCAGCCACAATATGTGCACTTTAGCTTACCAATAAAGAGCTGCTATGCAGTGGTTAACCTCTGAAGAGAAGAGGAAAAAGGGAAAAAAAAGAGGAAAAAAGGGAAAAAATAATAAAAAAGAACAAAAAAGAAAAAAAGGGGGCAAAAGAAGAGGGAAAAAAAAAAAAAAAGAGAGAATCCTTATAGGATAATAAAGACAATTCATTCCCTCTCCACCAAAAAGGCACAGAAGTTGACTCTCCCTTCTCTAAATAGCAAGATGAACATTTTACAAAATATCCCAGTTTCCAAATGATTCCGTTTGTATTAGAAGACAGAAAAAGAATTATACAGCGCTGAAGAAGGATTAGGGCACAAAGAACAAGTGATACAGTCATTCTCCAAGTTACTTTGTTTTCAACATGCAGCCCCTGCCAAAGGCTAGCTTTTTGCTCTTGCAGAGTATGATCTGTAAACATTTAACCAGCTCTCTGAGAAACATGTGAGACACTTTATCTTGCCTGATTATGAATCCAAACCTCTCAGATCTAAAATAAAAAGACAACAAAAAAGAGACACCATCCTCTTTTTGCAGCTGGACAATGAAAAAAGCACCTGTGGGATGAAAGCAAATGAACTATCACACGGGGCATAGGTTCTTCGGGAAAAGCATGCACTGCAGCTTGAATAAACCTCCTACAGGTTACAAACGCACAGTTTGTTAAACAACACTGGTATTTGATTATTAATCCCTACTGATGTATGCGCAAAACTTCCAATTTCTAAGGAGTGCATTCAGTTTTATAAAGCCTAAGACTAGAGAATTTAATGCTGACATGGAAACAGCGGTGGAATGCCATTATATGAGCCCTTTGCGATTTGTTTACCGTTCGAAGCAAATTCTGCTTTTAAAAATGGGAAAAAAACCCCAAAACAAACCCCAACAACAACACAGCAAAAAGGCCATACCGCAAGGAAAACTGTGAACGCCGCGCAACCATAAAGTACACATCCCCAACTTGGGGAATCCCGCAGGCTCACCCTGCGCCTCACGGCAGGCGGTCGGACCGGCCACCACAAGAGCGGAGCCGCCGCCTCCGAGCTGGAACTTCCAGGCTGCACTGCCGGACACTGCCCCGCGCCGCGCTCCCGCCGCGCCCGCAGAGCGGGAAGGGGCGGGAGGGGCAGCGGCTCCGGCTGCGGCCAAGGGGCGCTGCCGACAGCATCCCGGGAAGCGCTGCCCGCCCTGCCCGCGGAGCGCTGCCCGGGAAGCGCTGCCCTGCCCCGCGGAGCGCTGCCCCGCCCGCGGCAGCGCCGCCGCGTACCCGGTCCCGGCGCCCACCCTGCGGAGCCCGGCCGGGGCAGGGGCCGGCCGGCAGCCCCGCTCCGCTATCACCTGCCCCCGCGGCGCCCGGCCCGCCCCGGGAGAGCGGCGGCGGCGGCTGCCGCGCTCCCGCGAAGTTCCCGGGCGGGGCTCGGCGCAGCACCGTGCCGCTGCCCGTCCGCCCTCGCCGCCGGCTCCGCTCGCTCCCCGCGTCCCCCCACGGGTGCCGGTCCTTACCGCGGCGGAGCGGGCTGCGCGCCGGCACCACCGCCGGAGGGGCGAGCGCTGCAGCCCGGCGGGCTGGGCTGCCTCGGCGCTCCTGGCCCGGCGGCCGGCCCAGCCCGCACCTCCGCGGCCCCGCGCCGCTCTGCCCTCCCTCCGCCCGCGGGCTCCGGCTCCCCGGCCCCAGCCCCAGCCCCGCGCTGCTGTCCCTACCTGGGGCGGCAGGGGCTGCGCGCCCCGGCGGGCAGGGGCGTCTCTCCCTCCCTCCCTCCCGCACGGCACCTGGGCTGCGGGGCGGCTCTCCGCGCCCTTCCCTCAGGCGCCTCCGCCGCGCTGCTGGCGGCTCCCAGCGGTAAATCAGCCGGTCCCCGCGCTCCCTCCGCCCCTCCGGCGCGGTCCTGACCTGCCTGTGACTCACCACATCGCAGGAGCCCGGGTGCGCGGTGGGGGGAAGGAGGGAGGGGGGCCTCCTTCTCTCGCTCCCCCTCCCCTCCTTTCTTCCCCTCGTCCCTCCCGGCCAGGCGCCCCCAGCCCGGGGGCAGGAGGGATGGCTGTCACTCCCCAGATGGGGAAAGCCGAGAGGGGACCCTTGGTGGACCTTATCCTGCACCTCGGCGTTTTCAGGCCAAGCAGGTACCAGTGGCACAGCCTCCCTCCTTACTCCCAGCCGCTGGGCACCCTCCGTCAGATGTCAGTGCCTGACTGATGCTAAACCTTAACCCTGAGAGGTCAAGATACAGGCACCCCTGGGCTTGTCCTGAGACCCCCCCTAGGCTGTGTAGTAACGAAGAAATTTAGCCCATATTGCACTGTCGTGGTGTCAGTGCTGACTGTGCTTTAAATGTCTATCCACACGTAATTCAAACAAATGACCTCAGTTTATATAGACTATCAAGTAGCTATCTTCCCCCATATGTGCTTCCTACAGGGTACTAAACTGTACTAAACAGGTTGGGGTTTCTCCCTCACAAGGTTTGCAAAGCACATGATGACTTCATCTTTCAGAGGCGCTGAGAAACTGAGTCACTCAGCAATACTGCCTGTGCAATGTACACTTGTGGAGCTGCTGAGAGACTGTGAGTCTCAACACTGGGGCATGCAGCAAAGGATCCATCTTTTTTTCTGGTAACAAGTTTCAGCAGCTACTGATTTAAACCAGATTTTAAGTGAAAGGCTTCATATTCCAATAGAAGTTACTGGAGACATCTATTTTGCCTTTGCTTGCTTCCTTTTTTGGCCCCAACGCTGCTCTCCTTAATCATACCATTTAAACCAATGAATGTTTTTCGTGAGTGAAGTACAAGGAACTGTAAGAAACGTTGCCCAGTTTCATGATTAACCATGGGAAAAATGTCAGATCTTACATCAAAACGTTCTGTAAGGAAAATTAAATATTGTATGTATTTGTTTTAGGCCTTGGATGTCACCAGGATGTGTACAAAGACAAAGCTGTACAACAGAACAAAACGTTTTAAAAAAGCAGTTAGCCACCTTTCTGCCAATCTTCTGCTAGTCTTTCACAATTTATCTGTCCCCTCTTTCCTATGGACTTGCTGGCACTAGCGATAAAGACACCTAACCTAGCTATAAGCTGATTCTATGCAAAAACAGATGTGTGATTGAGGGCAGCCTGCACCCCAGCTTCCCCTCATGAGGAAGTTGTAACTGCAGTGACCCCTCAGTCTCTTCTTCTCCAGGCTGAACAGACCAAGTGACCTCAGCCACTCCTCATAAGGCTTTTCCTCAAGGCTCTTCACCATCTTCATTGCCGTCCTTTGGATATTCTCTAGTAGCTTTATATTTTCCTTATATTGTAGCGCCCAAAACTGCTTCCAGCACTCGAGGTGAGGCTGCCCCAGAGCAGAGCAGAGCAGGACAATCCCCTCCCTTGCCTGGCTGGTGATGCCCCCCAGGATATGGTTGATCTTGTTGGCTGCCAGGGCACTGCTGACTCAAATTCAGTTTGCCATCAGCCAGGAACCCTGGCTCCCTTTCCACAGTGCTGGTCGCCAGCTCCTTGTTCCCTGGTCTGTCCATACATCCAGTGTTGTCCCATCCCAGGTGCAGAATTCAGCACTTGTCTCTGTTAAACTTCATGACTGATGTAATCTCATTTCTTTCAAGTGTCTGGAAATCTGTCCATTTACTTTAATAACCTTTATTTCACTTAATACTCAGCAACAGTTAGAAAAGGAAGACAGTGCCAGCCCCCACCCAGGGAAAAGCATGGCTACAATTAGACTGTACTGCTTGCTGGGCTTCAATTAGTGATCAGTCAGTCATTGTGCATCCATACAGCCACACCAGATTTGGAAGAATCTGCCTTAAGGGTTTTGAAAGAAAGTGATAAAAAGATTTAAATCCGGAGTTCATCCTAAGGACAACCCCTCATATTATCTGTTCTCAGCCTGCTCCTGAGTTCGCTGTGCACCTGCCTGGGCTGAGCAGCCAGCGCCCAGGCTGTTATCAGTGGGACAGCCTGTGCTATTCTAAAGCTAACAAATGGATTGTCACTAACATAAAAAGGAGAAACAGATGTTTCCTTTCCATTTCGACCATGCTGATGCCATGTTATTTTAGGTTAGTTTTATGAGACAGTGACACTGCACTGAGGCTTTGATAATCATCTGATACTCCTTTCTTCATGCTTGCAATGATATGTGTGCACCATGAACAACTTCTCAGAGGCTTGAAGTACCTTTAAGGTGCAGTTATGGGTGAAAAAGAAACTGTGACTTTCTTAGTCATCATCCTGGTCTCTTTATAGGTTTTCCTAATCTCTCTCTCTCCTGTCCAAAAGGAGCTGGTCCTCTTCAGTCTGGCATAAGATGGTGTGACACATTTTAGAAAGCTGACGGCACTGGAAAAAGCAATTCAAAAGTGTGAAGGAGGGTCTGTGAGGGTGATCTGTTCAGTAAGAGAACTGGAACACACCGGGGAGTGTATTGGCACATGCTTTCCAGCCCTGACGTGTTTTGAGATAGGAAGCTGATGAGCAAACCCTATCACATTTCCAAGAATACAAACATAGAGTTAGAAAAATGGATTGCAAGGCTATGTTGAAGTTAAACTTTCAAGTGTAAACATGAGGAATGAAAACACAGGATGATTTCTGTGTGTTGGCAGTAGTGCATCTCAACACACTAAAATGTCCACTTTGATTTTATGGGTTTCATTGTGACTTCTGTTCACAACCTGAGAGATTATTTATCATAACTACAGGTAGCAAAATGAATTTTATAGACTTATGTATCCAATTCATACTTAGTTTCAATAAGAAAAAAATATATTTAAATACCTCTGCAAATCCGGATCTAACCACATTTTCTAAAAGTGCAGAATCAAACATGAATCATTTCTGGAGAACCACACTCTACTACATGGCACCACAGCTATATGGTACCATCGGAGGATTTACTCTTTGTCCTCTGCTGCAGTCATTCACACCTTTGGGAGCAAGTATAAAATGCAAATGTCATTGTGAGGCTCCAGAGACCTCTGACTTAGTGGAGCTTACTCATGAGTAAATGATTTCAGAAGGAGCAAGACAGCGGAATTAATTTAATGCTTAAGAACACACAAGACAAAGATCTCTAGAGCTGAGCTTCGTTGTGGTGGGTATCAGGTACCTTCCTGTCGCAGAACCCTGCAAGAGGGACTCAGAATACCTGAATCTGAGTCTCTCTGGAGGTTGATAAACAAAATAAGAGCCTTAGGTGAACCCACCCAGCTCAACTGCCTGACAGACCAGTGATCCAAGGGGAAAATTATAGTGCAACAGCCTGTTGAGGTAACGTGTAGCTGTATTTCCTGTAGACCCTTATTCACTGGAAGGCAGCCTGGCTGCAAATGCCAGGGGCAGCTCAGGGAAGGGGTTGTGCCTCAGGCACATTTTTCTGTGACTACTTTGTCCCTTCAAGTCACTCTGACACAATCTGTCTTTCCTGGGCTCAAAAAGCACACGGTGGGCAGGGAGACAGTGTTGACTGGGGGTTGGGCTTTGGAGAAAAAATGCCCATGGTGTTGTTTGCCTCTCTGGAAACCGGGCTAAATATCACAGTTGCTACTTAGATCTCTAGATTCCAAAGATTTGATCATCACTGCATTTATTTTATGGCATTTATTATCTAGCCATTTATTAACTAAGCCCATAGCTTCTGAAAACTAAATAAGTACTTTCTGTTTGTTTGTAAGAGGGTCAACAATGTTACTGGAAGAAATTTCAGCCTGGGACCGGTGGTTGCAAAAGTCCCTAGCAAAGCCAAGAACAGAAGTCTGCAGTTAGAAGTCCTAATCTCTCACCAGTAGGCTACCCTGGGCAGTTCTCTATTTGTATGGAAACACAGATCATAACATAAGGTGTTTTCACCTATTGCACTCTGGATGATAGGTGATTTCTGAGTAAAGATAAGTCTTTTGTTTCACTTGATGAGGTTTTCCTCCTTGTTTGCCTTTCTACTTGTAAATAAACACCACAACTAAATTCTAAAATCCAAATGGTGAATGCTTCAAGTGTGATTCTTGAAAATGGAGGAAAATGTTTGTCGGGTTAGTGCATCTGAAGTCTGGATTGCCATGGCTCTGTGTCCTTTTTGTGCCAGTCCCAGAGCCTTGGTGATCACATGGGAAACTGGTACATGAAGTTCAGGAATCCAGCAAAAATTAATCACTCAGAAGAACAAAGATTAGTTTACAGACATATTAGCTCTTCAAATCCATCTGCTATGCAGTAATGTGAGTGCTAGTGCTGCAGAAGGACGAGGTCAGAAACCCAGGAGGAGGGTGGGCTTATAGCAGCTGAGATTTACATCAGCTTAACTGGAGGGGGCACCTCAGCCTCCAGAAGGCAGGGGAGGAGATGGTATGGATCTCACTGCTCCCTGCCTGAACCTTGCCTCCTTTCCTAGTGGTGTTGAAATACATTAAATCCCTGAATGGGTACCTCTGAACAAACCCAAGAAATCATTTCAGTGATGGAAAGCTGAATAGTCTTTGTGTTCACATCCCTGGAAATGACAGAAGTGCAGTAGCCCTTGGTGCATTCACTGAGCTCACACTGCAGCAGCAAAGGCTTTCCAGCACATGCCATAGAGAACTCTTCTAGCATAGCTCAGCATGAACTGCTTCAGGCAAAGCACAGTGACAAACTCCAAACCCAGTACCAAACATGTGACACTTTGGAACAGTAGATTTGTTTGCATAACTGAAAACAAACCTGATGATACTCAGAATTAAAATATTTACAGAGTGAAGAAATTCTATGTATAATATTCATGAGTTCACCACTATTGCAGACTTAGTTAAAATGCATAACTGTTTCTTGTTGTTTTTAGTACATTTTAAATTAATTCCACCACCCCTTTATTTTAACTGCAGACCTGTTGCTTT